CCAAAATTTTGAAAAATGGGTAAAAAAAAAAAAAAAAAAAAAACTCTCATTCTTTATATTTTTATTTCTTACCTCTCAAAAAATTAATAAAGGTGAGGCTAACAAATCATTAAATAGAAAAAGAGAAAATAAATTTTGAAAAAATATATAATTAATAATATCAAAATTTTAGCGGGGTAAAGTAGGAATACTCCTTGTGTCACAAGATTTTTTAAATAGTCCAAGATTTAAAGCATGTAGTATACTTTGAATGGGAAATATTATAGCTCCAATTTAAAAAATAAAAATAAAATATTGTAAAATAAAAAAAATATAGAGATTCTCTAAAAAGGTTGAATTATAAAATTTAGTTTCTCAATCTAATCAATTATTTATTTAAAAAAAATTAATGTCGGAAAATTACCAAAAATTCAAGAACAGAATAGTTTGAAAATTTATTAGAAATGAAGGCATTCCAGATGCTAACTAATTAAATGGGATTCCATTTTTGTAACACTTTCTAAAAAAAATTAAATGTAAAGGAAAGTGTTTCTTGCCCAAAATTATTTTGTAAATATTTGAGATAAATGATAATTAATGTTTGTGTTTGTTTTACCAATTTTGTAAATATAGAACAAAATTAATTAAATACAGTAGTATTAGTAATTGTTAATATATTTATTAATTTAAACTTATATATTTAATTAATATGAATATATTGTGGTAATCATAGGTTAGTTTTTTTTAGTATTATTTAATAGACAGTTTAATAAATTAATCACTTAAAGTATATTTATTGATACATTAATTAAAAGTAATATTGATAATTAAATTTTTTAATTTAATTACTAAAAATAAATAAATAAGTATAGATTAATTAGAATGATAAAAGTATGTTTGTGATGAACAATTTAATTTAATTACTATAAATTGGCATGTTTGTGATACAGCCAGGAAGCACCATTGATGGTTTGAAAGGATGCGAGGTGGAGCCTCGTCTTGCCTTCCACTATGGCATTCCATCAGGCTCTACCATGTCTGCTTATGATTCCATCCAAAAGATACTTGCTCTTTCTACCAGGTACCTTTCATAAGCTCTTAGAGAGATGTATGATAGGGTCTACTTTCCAGTTCTTCTTTCATTAATTGTGTATGATAGGGTCTACTTTCATAAGCTCTTAGAGAGATGTATTCCTCGCTTATAAACCCATGATCATTCCCTAAATTAGCCAATATGAAACTCTCTCCCAATCATCCTCCCCTCGAACAAAGTACACTATAGAACCTCCTCCGTGGTCTATGAAGTCCTCGAACAACCTCTCATTAATCGATGCTCGACTCCTCTAGAATCTTTGAACAAAGAACACCCTTTATTCGACATTTGAGGATTTTATTGACATGGTTCTGATATCATGTTAGGAATCACGACTCTCCACAATGGTATGATATTGTCCATTTTGAGCATAAGTTCTCATAGCTTTGCTCTGAGTTTCCCCCAAAAAAAAAAAAAACCTTACGGAGATGATATTCCTTACCTTCCAGTTTGTTCATTGGTTAAATAATTGAATGTTTAACTTTCAATGTATATTGTTATCCGTAGATATGGTCAGATCAAGCTATTTGGAAAGGATAATTCTCAGGCTCTACTAGAGTCTAAGGAGGCACTTCCTAGCAAGTTTTTGCAAGTATACTGATTCTTATATTTTCAGTTCTTTATCTGTTTCTGTTCAACATTTACCCTTCAAGAGCTTCCTGATAAGATAACTTCTTAAGATATTGAGGTTTTTCATTTTCAGTTCATAGAGAATCAGGGATTTCTTCTAAATGTTACTCCAAACAACCAAATTGAGGTATTTAGGCTATAATCTGTCTCCAATATAATGCAGCATTTGCATTGACAAGCCCTGCTTGTGTAGGTATGGGATATAGACAGAAAGTTGTTGGTACATGTGCATGCTTACGACGAAGAAATCACCTCTTTCACGATCTTGCAACAGAGTTCATACATGTAAGTTTGTTCTACTGGGCGTGTTACTGTCCTTAAGTCTGTATTGAGGGGTCTCTGTTACTAAAACTTGCAGGTATGTTGGAGATTATCTCGGTAATGTTTCAATTTTAAAGCTTGATCAAAGTCTCTGCAACATAATACAAATGAAGTACATCATACCTGTTTCAGCCTCACGTGGTGAGAAGACCCCTTTCTTTCTTCCTTCCCTCTCTGCATTATGTTTGCATCTTTCTCACAATTTGTTTATAATTCAATCAAAGTCAAAAGATGATGGTGAGGGCTTATAGACATGACTACATGTTTTTTTCTTCCTTATTTTACTCCTAGTACAATCTTTAGTGAATTTAGTAAGTGAATTTAGTAAGAGACTAAAACGAGAAAACAACTTTTCTGAACATCACCTTCGTTTTAAATAGGAAAAAAGTGCAAATAGTACACCTATGAAAAATGACTCGAAAATGACTCTAAATTGAAAGTATTTAAGGTTAGTTTTTTTACTAAACATTTGTGTCAAATTCATCAAATTTGAACGTTCCTTATAATTTCGTTGAAAAATATTGAAAGTAACATAGTTTTTTCACGTAATGAATTAAGTGTCTCTATTAAGGTCTTCTCGAAAGAGTTCAGATTGTGTGAGATCTTATAGACATGACTACATGTTCAGATTGTGAGGTCTTATAGACATGACTACAGGTCTTATACCCAATCATCTTATTCAGGAAATCCAGCTGAAGTTACCAGTGACACTTATATAACCCACATACTACCACAACCGACCGCTGAATTCAAGAGGTAATGCAAGATACCATGGCCTTGACTTACGCTGCTATCACTATTAAAATGCAAGGTTATCACTGTCATCTTTGTTTCTAATCTTGTAGAGTGCTTCTAATATTCAATGATGGCTTGATTACTTTGTGGGAAATTAAAGAATCCAAATCTATTTTCATCACGGGTGGACATACCAAGCTATCATCATATCAAGAAGCAAAGAAGGTGACTTCTGCATGTTGGGTTTGCCCTTTAGGAAGTAAAGTTGCTGTCGGGTATAGCAATGGAGAAGTTCTAGTATGGGCTATTCTTTATGGCCAAAATCAAAATTTTGAATCAGTGTCAGAGAATAGCAGTCGAAGTGGTCCTTTATGCAAGCTTAATCTTGGCTATAAGTTGGACAAAATCCCTATTGCATCTCTGAGATGTAATTATGTGGATGCAAAAGCAAGTCGGCTATATGTTATGGGTGCCTCTTCAAACTCACTGCAGGTACTGTGATGATGCCCTTTCAGAATTGATAGTTTTAGGAATGTAACTGAACAATTTTAGTCTTTAAACCATAGTTTTACATTGAACTAACATTTAGTTCATTTGGAGGCAGGTAGTCTTGTTGAATGAGCAAATTGAAGCTCGCATGATCAAAGTGGGGCTTCAGCTTTCTGAACCTTGCGTCGATATGGATATCATTTCAAGTCTCAGTGATCACAGCAAGAACAAGCAAGATTATCTGCTATTGCTTGGAAAATCTGGCTGTGTTTACACTTATGATGATTGCTTGATTGAGAAATATCTGCTACAACAATGTCAATCCAGGACGGCAGCCTCACTTCCAAAAGAGGCCAGGCTTAAGATTCCGTTTGTTGATTCACACATAACTGTGGCAAGGTTTTTCACCAATAATTCTTGTTCTCTATATGCTTCTGATGAGGTAGGCTAAAAGGGTAATTCATTTCTTGTTTCTATGCATTCTAATCCTCCCCATATACTAATTTCTAGCACTTTCTGATATGTCACTGTAGGATTACATTCAGCGGACAAAAGACATTCCTTCCCTTTTTCTTTCAGAGTCAAAACCAAAGGAAGTATCATACTTAGACACAGTCCAATTTGTTGGATTTTCAAAGGTTGAGAATTTGTATATATCTGGACATAATGATGGAAGCATAAATTTTTGGGATGCGTCATCTCCAATTTTCTTCCCAATCTATTCATTGCAACTACAGGTAAATATTTTTCTATCTGAGTTAAAGAAAGTTCAAATAAAGGAGAAATTTTAGTTTCATTTTCCTATCTCTATTTTCCTTCATTTGCTACATGAGTAGCAGGCATGCCACGTGTCACAATCGCCTTTTCTTGGCAGCAGATTTGACGATTGTGTGGCACTCACTTTTATCACCGAGTGAGTCAAGCCAACTTTGGATCGTGTTGCATACGGTCGGGCAACGTATGCTCAAGCTTTGGACCCCGATTTGAAAAGAAGATTTTAGAAAACGGGGCAGAGAGATTTTGGAAAGAGAGTTTGAAACTAAGAATGAGAGAGAGAGATTGAAAGTGGTGTTATATAGCATGCAAGCAAAAAGGAAACAACGGCTTAAACAGTATATAACTTTTCAGGTAGGGAGAATTTGACAACTAGTCGCATCTCCCTATAGTACATTCTGAGGCATTTCATGTCTACCAGGCGTAGCCATGATTTTGCCGAAACATCATGTTCTTAGAAAAAACAAAAAGGAAATAATACAACATGAAAGCAGTAAACGAAAGCGATAAAGTAGTACAAGGCAAGGGTTTCGGCATGTAACGGGCATGCGGCTATGGGCAACACACCTTGGACAAGCATGACCATGACACCATGTAAAGACTTGAGCGTGGCTTTTTTGCACCATAGATTGTAACTAAAGAATAAAACTTCTTACTGTAAAGTACTAACTTGCATAATTTTAATAATGCAGAGTGAGGATGATTTTTCTTTAAGTGGCATTCCGGTGACAGCATTACATTTTGATGGCAGTTCCCAGATTCTTGTTTCTGGAGATCATAGCGGAATGGTGAAGTGATATGTTTTAATAGTTTTACAAAACTGAAAGAAAAAAATAGGATTCTTAAGGGTTTAATGTCATGACTATTGAATTTGTCAGGTCCGGATCTTTAAATTTCGACCAGAACCTTATGCAGCAGACAACAGTTTTATGCCTTTCCAAGGTAGTTTTAGATTCATATTGTTTTTGGTTTGTCTGATTATTTGTGAGATCCCACGTTGGTTGAGGAGGAGAACGTAGCATTCTTTATAAAGGTGTGAAAACCTCTCCTTAACAGACACGTTTTAAAAACCTTGAGGGGAAGTCCGAAAGGGAAAGCCCAAAGAGGACAACATCTGTTAACGGTGGGCTTGGGCTGTTACGTTATTCATCTAGTAGCAATGAGTTTGCAATGATGTGTTGGGAAAGTGATCATCTGACATACCACAGGAAGCACAAAGAAACGGAACAATCAGATTATCCATAGTGTTAAGCTACTAAAAATTGACGGATCAATACTTGCAATCAACATAAGCCCCAGATCGAATCATCTTGCTGTTGGGTCTGATAGAGGATTTGTAAGCATACTCTCTTATTTTGAACTTTCTTCTCATCTTGATTTTTAAAGCTTATTTCCTTTTAAGATGTCAGGGAACACATATTGTGTCTTCTCTCTTCATTTTTAGGTAGATTTGCTCGATGTTTGGAGGAAAACAAACAAATCTAATTCGCCACAACTGTTATCATCTTCAACAGGTTTCTGTATTCGATATCCAAGGGTCGAGTCTAATATATCAAAAGCGTGTTGCAAGTGAAATATCTACTGGTATCATTTCTTTGCAGTTTGAAAGCTGCAATCTTCAAGGTTTTGAGAAAAATGTTCTCACTATTGCCACAGTAGATTCCTCTATTTTGGCTGTTGACGGTGAAACGGGAAAAACGCTAAGTGCTAGCATGGTTCATCCCAAGAAACCCTCCAGAGCTCTATTCATGCAGGTTCTATGTAAGATCTTCCTTCTTCAGGTTTCCATTTTTGCTTAATGCATCCTCTTCTCTTGTAGGACGCCATTGATGAAGTAGAAGAATCATACTGAACTCCTTTCCTTTGGATTTTTGCAGATGGACAAGATGCATCGACCAGAGGATCAGGAATTGCAGCTGTGGATAGCGTGCCGAAACAGTCGCTAGTGTTACTTTGTTCTGAGAAAGCTGCATATATCTATTCCTTCGTTCATGCTGTTCAGGTAGCAATCATCTGCAGGGACCCAATTGAATTATCTTTCTACATTATATGAGACTACCACTGTTACTGTTCTTTCTTCTCAGGGAATCAAGAAGGTTCTTTACAAGAAGAAGTATCACTCGTCGTGTTGTTGGGCATCTACCTTCTATAGTACCTTAGATGTTGGCCTCTTGCTTGTTTTTGACACTGGGAAGATTGAAATAAGGTGCCTGGTTGTGGTTTTTCATCCTTTGCTCGTAGTGTAGTCAAAATTATACCATGTCAGAGATTGGTTTTACATTATTTTCTTTTCTCTATGATTACAACGTCCACGAGTAGGAGTGCCTTGCTAACTAGAAGTAAAAGGTTGCTCAATGTCGATGCGTATCTTTCTGAGGTCTTGATGATCTCGTCGGTTTTCATCGTCACATTTGGAGTGTGTATTTTTGTGATCTGTTTGGCATATATTAAGCTAAATACCTTCCATTACAGGTCCTTGCCAGAGTTATCTCTCTTAAAGGAAACTTCAGTAAGGGGTGTCAAATATTCTCCTTCAAAAGCAAATTCGTTGCCTGAAAGCATTATATGTTCTTCCAAGGATGGGGAACTTCTTGTGGTATGAAGCATGGACGTTAATATTAAAAATTTCCCACCTCCGAGATTGTCGTGTTCTTTTTTATCCCTTAATGTTCGTCTTCTTTGTGAAACAGGTGAACGGTGATCGAGAAATATTTATTGTCTCGGTGTTGTGCCATAAGAAAATGTTTAGGTATATATCTCTTTCATGTTGGATGCATTCAAAATATATCAGTTTGTTGCTGTAAAAAGGTTGTGTACTTCAGCTTGGTTTATTTTTGTTATAGGATTTTGGACTCTGTCAGTCACATATACAGGAAAGATCATATGCTTTTACAAGAATTGACCACTGCTCCCAAGGAAAAAAGGAAGGTATAAATATGGTTTAAACTTTGCTTACAGCGAGAGTGTTCCATGAAAAGGGTAACAAAACATGTTTTCTGAATGAATGGTAGGGTATATTTTCTACGGTTTTCCAAGAGATTGCTGGAAACAAACCAAAACAGACTCCTGATATTGAAATAGAAGATAATAGGGAAAGTGTTGAAGAACTTTCCGTAATCTTCTCATCTTCCAACTTCCATAGGGATGTTAAGATCGTTGAAGGTAGTGAAAACTTGGTCCCAAATGAAGACAAGTCAGCGTTGGATATAGGTATTCACTCCCCGAGCTACTTTTATCATTTTTACCAAATGGATATATTTTTCTGCTAAATTTCAAATGAAAATAACTTTTCCCTTATTTCAAAAATTGCAATATTACATTTGATTCTTGGTAAATGTTTCAAAACTTTAGTAGAAATTCATTTGAATATTCCCAATTTCATCCGACGTTCTAAAGAATTTTTGTTCTAAAGGTAATTTTGAAACGCTTATAAAACGTTAAAGATAATATTGGAACTTAAAAAAAAGGAGTATTTTTTATATATTCATCCTTTGTTCGCCGAAGAAAGAGAAGAATAAGCTGTATATATTTCTAGCTTTCTTTTTTGCCAATAGTTTTTCCATAACTTATCTAAATCCGTTGTAGTCTCTAGTCAATATCCTATTGTTTAATGAATGTATACCCTCAACAAGTTATCTTGTCTTTTCTATCCTTCCTCAGATGACATTGAACTTGATGACCCTGTTGAAAAACCAAAAGAACAGAGCAAGTTGGCTGCTTTAAATAAGCAGAAGTTGGCGAGTACATTTAATTCTCTTAAAGGTCAGTGTCCTTCCAACTTCACAAGGAAAAATCTTTTCTTGATGGATTTTTTTAGCTGCTGGTCACTTTAACAATTTGACATTCAAAGTGAAGATTAGTGTACAATAATATCATTCAAATGGCAGTCCCAAATTTAATGTTGGCTGCTTGCTTTGAAAATGTAAAATTTGAAGTTTATTGAACTATTGATTATGGGTTTCACAAATCAGAACAATGCTCATATCCACCGCTGTACTAATAGAAACAACCTCATAAATAAAAATTCAGGAAAACTGAAACAGATGAAGGTCAAAACGGAGAAAAACTCAGCCAAGGAAGAGCAACCTGATTGGAATAATGCAGCAGATAATAAAGCAGGTGCAGTTGATCAAATCAAGAAGAAGTACGGATTCTCATCGGCTGGGGTAAGTATAAATTGGCTTCCAACCATATCTTAAGTTCCTAAGATCACCAACAACTAGATCTTGGTGATGTTGTACAGCATTTACACAAATATATGTTAGCTGCTAAAATGGATTATGGAGTAGATAGATATAGTGATTTAGAAAGTATTGTACCAAGAATACTTGTTGCAAGTCCCCATTGGATCTGATCTCCATCATCGTTTTCTTTGCCTGCACTGCAGGATACAAGTGTTGCAAAAATGGCAGAAAGCAAGCTGCAAGAGAACATAACGAAATTACAGGTACAATCACCAAATTGGGTCCAATGAAATCCTCCTTATCGTTAAGAAGAAAAGATTGATCCAAAGTTTTGGTAGATATATATATGAAAATATTGGATTTGAGCATAGGGAGGATAAAACGATGATAGTTTTTTTGTTTGTTGAATGCTCAGGGAATCAACTTAAGAGCTACGGATATGCAAGACACAGCGAAGTCATTTTCATCCATGGCAACTCAATTACTGCGAACTGTCGAACAGGGAAAGCGTAATTGAAAAGTTCAACATCCATGGAGATTTGTAAGCCAATGTCATTTTTCGATTTGGGGATTTTTATTGTGTTTGTTTATATATTTTGTTTGCTTTGCTTTTGTTGTGTGTGCATAAGTTAAATACATATATATAGACTTAGGCATCCCCCGGGTGCTGAAACTACCTCTGGTTTTTTAGCAGAAGCTAGGCCAGCACCCAATACTCAAATTCCCTTTCAACATTTTTCTTTTTTTCCTTTCTTGGAGATCAATTACTTTCATACAAATCAAATTCACATTTCATGTACAACCACATTACCTAAAATTATATAAAATTATAGTACTTTATATAAAATTATAGTACTAAATTTTTCGCTGGTTCATTTTTCATTTTTCATTTTTCATATTGTTCATCTATATCCTTGTTGTTCGAATTGATCGATGGTAATATCTGTGTATCTGAACTTACAAATATTGTCTATTCGAACTTAAGCTCAATGAATGAATCTAAAGAAAAGGAAGGAATTTCGAACATGGGAAGTAATAATAAAAATGATATTAGGCAGGCACAAATTTGAGAGTGCATGTGTAAGTAGCATATTTGCATGTGCTAAGACCTGGTCTAGAGATATATATAGAGAGAGAGAGAGCATTTAGCAGGCCTCTAGATTAGTGGAAGCAAAGCTGGCTAATCAGAATTAGAGGAGAAAACTAGAATAAGATTAATAGATTCGTAAGTATATCCAGATGGACACCACTAAAACTCAGTTAAGCAAGCACATGGAAGGAACTGAGTTAGCTAGATAGAAGCAAGCATGTTGAGATAAAGAACCACTCAAATGATGGATGCTATATCAACTTTATTACCCTCCACAACAACTTCAACTCAGTTCTCGTAGCATTGCACATTACAAATTAAGCAAAAGATCAGATTAGGAGGGATTATTGGAACCTGGACATGGCGATGGAGGCAACGGAAGCTGTCCGGCCATCTAAGGTCACAACTTCAACTTCAATACTACAATTTCATAGCCTCTCTGTTCTCCACGCTTTTCAAATTCCCACCACTAAACTGCCCCATCTTTCTTATTTAAATAATTCAACTTTACTCTCCTGCTCAAATGCTAATAATTTTTTCTTCAATACAAAATAGCAATAATATTGTGATGTTCTAAATTTGAGTATGAATTGAGGTGGGTAAATCAAATTATCATCCCTCATTTGTTAGCTAGGTAAGTACATGGGGGGGATTACAGATGAATGTGTAGTTAAAGTTATATTATCATCCCTCATTTGTTAGCTAGGTCAGAAACTCGATTATTCAATATCATATATTACGCCATTTCATTCAATTTTTTAGCAGGGTTTCTTACTATGAAGTAGAGTTCTTAGAATGAGACCATTTACCATTTGTAATCAAAGAACAATAAACAGACACATCATTGCAGGCATAATAACAAAGACAATCCACCCAAAATTCTTCAATATAACATCAAGTTCACACCTCAAATGAAGCCTATCATCCAATAAACAATTCTCTTTTTAGTCCAAAATACCAACGGCTCTGTGCATCACAAATCAAAGATGGAAAGTAAAGCAGTTTAGACTTCTCCGGCACATCACAATCCAAAACCGGTCATTTTCAACTTGGGTGAGAAACCAGAGGGGAATATGATGAACAATTAAAAAAAATTAAAAAAAAACCCAGCTTTCATTGAGAAAAGTAAAATGACGTCAACCACAACACCATCATTTCAAACAAACATCAATGACCAAAGACACTGTTGGAGAATCAAACAAACTTTCCGACTCCAATCCTGTCAGCAAGAAAATGACAACTCACCCTACATTCTATGTTAATCTCAAGACAAATTAATCCATTTCCGTGGCGAATCGAATGGTCGAGTCAATGAGTCATGTAACCAGTAAAAATATGCTGATTCCAGACTCCCCCAACAGAGAATAAAAGCCCACAAGATTCATGAGAGGTAATATCAGTAGAATAATCAACTGAAACTGAATGATTGTGAAATTACCAACAGATTTTGCTTGAATACAGAAGCATGTCAACTTAAGGAATCTAACATTCAACCCGAACCTTTCTTGTTTTGATTTCTTTTCTCCCATCTATCCTAATTACCCAAAAAAAAAAAAAAAAAAAAAGAAAAAAAGAAGTAGCTATTCATCCGAGACATAAGAAAAATCTAAATTGCTGAGTTTTTTTTTTTGCACCGGACTGTGAAGGAGTTAATTGCTTGTTCTTCCACCACATCATTCTTCCTCGTCCCTAACATTTACTCGTCATCATCTTCCTGCGATTCGAAATCAAAGATTGTCTGTCAGGTTCTCTAATTCCTTTTACATCTAGAAATACATATGTAAAGCATAACTTAATAACGAACCTCTCCACTCTCATCATCATCTTCATCCTCATCATTGACTTCTGATTTGGATTTGTCCGATTCTTCTTCTTCAGCTCCATTACCTCCCTCCGCCTAACAGAATCGCACATGTTTAAGACGGTTGAGAATAATGAATGTGTATGAAAATTATTGGAAATGATAATAAAATTACAGAACGTACGATTCTCTTATTGTAAGCCTGCATGGTCTTAGTGTACTCGGCTTTCCTTTTCTCAGCCTTGCTCACGTAAGGTGCTTTCTCCTGATATCAGAGTGAGGATATGAGGAAATCGTAATTTGATGGCATTCACAAAACACTCGGTAAAAATGACATCAATTTCCATCTAATTACTTACAGCTTCGGACAATGACTTCCATTTATCACCACCAGCCTTTCCAACCTGTTGACCAAACGAAAACGCTCTAAGAATCTTCTACAGAAAAACGAAGAGAAAAACAGTGCGCAGATCTAAAATCACTTACAGCCGCGACAGATTTGTTATTAGGATGCTCCTTCTTGTACTGCTTCCTGAATTCCTCCCTACAAATTCATCAACGAAGAAATCGAACAAGTAAAAATCCGTACAAAAGTGACCTAGACGTCAAAAAAAGAAAAAAAACACGGATCTGAAAATTGATTAAAAAATGGATAAGCTTGATGGAGAGAGAGAGATATACATGAAGACAAAGAAAGCACTGGCAGGCCTCTTCGGCTTGTTAGGATCCTTTGCAGCCTTAGCTGATTTCTTACTAGCTCCAGCACCTTTGCTCTTCAACCTAAAAAAAAAAAAATCAAATAACAAAACACAATATACAAACGGAGATCAGAACCAACAATTACAAAGCGAACGCGTCCGATCCAACTATCTGCTTCACAACATGGTAACGTGAAGGAAAAATATACACAAAAATGAGATGTTATCGAGGAACTCACTTAGTATCGGTCTTTTTGGGCGCCGCCTTGGATTTACCGCCCTTCATGACGAATCCTGCAAAGGAGGAAAAACGTAAAGAAAAATTGGCGGAGAGAGGAAGAGCGTGCGGCGGAGAGATTGGGAGTGTACCTGCGGAACTCTAGGGTTTGGGAAGAAGATAAGGAGAGAGTGTGAGAGTGAAATGTGGGGAGAAATATGGGTTGGTTTGTTTCGTGGGACGCGGAATGGGATTGGCTTCAGATAGTTATGTTATTGTGAAAAACCCTCTGAAGAGAAGAAGAGTCGAAACGAGAGAAATCGCGATGTCAATTGAAGGGGTCTGGGTTTAGGCGGGATTTCAAAAATCTTTCGCCACGTCAGCGATCCGCGTCCTCGTTTCTCATTGGCTCCTCTTCGCCTCTTCCCTTTTGCTTTCCGCTCTTTTGTGTTTCCTTTGTGTGTTGTTTGCAATTTCTTCGCTGTGAATTGTTCCCTCGAAACAGATCCAGACACGTGAGTTAAAGCCCGTTGTTTGAGCACGAAATGACGCCTTTGCCCCTCCCTCCTTAAAACTCGTCCCTCTCTTTAGTGCGCAACTTATCACAATAAACGTGATAAAACGATTAACGCGTCGTCGAGGTAATCAATGATCTCACATCTTGGGGCTATTTTCGTAACTTTGCTTCTTTCCCTAAGATATTTTCTCGTTTGGTTAAAACGCTGCGTTTTGTTTCTCCACGAGTTTGGGCTGGGCCTTGGATTTGGAGACCTTCTACTGAAGTCCATTTATTCATGTTCGAAGCCCAATGATAGGCCCAACTTCTTCCTGAATAACCTCCGTCGTATTCCAACGACCAACGGAGTTTTCTGGTTCGATTAATTTACTGTGGTCGCACAAAAATCCTCCGGAAATGGAAGCGGAAGCGGAAGGAATCGTAGAGCATCGAAGCTCGATAGCGGCTCCATGCATTTTCTTGGTCGTTATCGCTTTTCAATTTCTCGCTAGATGGCTGGAGCACCTGAAGAAGGTTCGCCTTTTCGCTTGATTTTTTTTTTCCGTCGGAATCTTGTTCATGTTTGTATTTTCTATCATTCTGCTTGCTTTTCAACCCTTAACTTGTTATTGATAGTCGAATTTTGAGGCCTACCTCAAATTTTGGGGCTGTAGCGCGTTTCAGTTTTTGCGTTGACAGGCTTAAGAATGCAATATTCCCTACTGTGCTTCGTGAAGTTCACGTTATTGGATTGAAGGCATTGTGATTTGATTAGTTTTGCGACGTGATGCATTCAATGTGGAGATCTATTGATGTTTTAAATCTTAATATCTAAGAAATTTGCTATGTTATAATTGTTATCCGTTCAATCTTGTCAATCTTTTTTGTTTTGAAACTCATGTTTCGATTATGTATGTGCTTTTCAGGGAGGTTCCAACAGCCAGGTGGAAATGGAGTTGCGCAAATCAATAAAGCAACTTCTGAGGGAGGCAAGCACCTTATCGCAGTAAGTAGTGTTTTCCAGCTGGATTCAACATTAAACAGTGCCTAATTCGGCTCAAATCAATAATTCGGTAGCTTGTAACTGTTATGATTATCCTGGGGATCATATTTATTTGCTTTTATGTTCGTGTAGACCATCTACATTTGCACAGGCTGCAAAACTTCGGAGGTTGGCAGCCGCTAAGGAGAAGGAGCTGGCAAACTGTGAGGCTAATTAATTCATCCCCTAATATCTAATATCTTCCCTCAATTATTTTTCTGTTTTTCTTTTTAACTAATGAGTTGCTGAAAGAGTATTGTGAAATGAGATACCACTTCTTATCAATGGGAATAATTTTGCTATTGTATGGTAAGGTTTGTTATATGAATCATCGATACATGAGCAGTTTTGA